ACATGGTAGTAATTTATAATATGTATAATAAGTATATATTATATGAATACAATAAAATTAATATGTAGGTACTACCACATACATTCAGTTCTAAAACAAAACACCAGGGCCCCTCTGCAAAGATGGTTTCAAATTAAAAAAAAAAAAAAAACAAAACAAAAAAAAATTGGTCGAAAGTTATTTCGACAGAACTTCCCTCGCTCTTGAAATATAATCCAACAAATCCTGCTTCTTTAAAAAAATATAAAATTTGATTTTGCGAAATTTTAATTTTTGGTGTAACACTCAAATAAGAGAAAAAAAAAAGAAAGCTTTCACATTATTAAAAAAAAGACAGTTATAGGGCCTCGAGAAGGTTTAACATTCCTTAAAAAAAAACACTTGGAGGCCCCGAGGAGGTTTCACGATAAAAAATAGGCAATTGGAACTTAGGTATGAGGAGGTTTGACATACTTAAAAAAAAACAGTTTGGGCCCCTGATAAGGTTTTAGATTGTTAAAAAAAAGCAGTTGAGGCCCTTGCAAAGGTGTCATATTCTTTAAAAAAAGGCAGTTGGAGGCCCCGAGAAGGTTTTAACTGTAAAAAAATGCAGTTTGGACAACTGAGGAGGTTTCAGATTCCTAAAAAGACAGTTGGGGCCCTCGATAAGGTTTCATCTTTTTTGAAAAAAAGACAATTAGGACCCCCGAGAAAGTTTGACATTCTTAAAAAAAAACAGTTTGGGCCCCCGAGAAAGTTTCGGATTGCTAAAAAAAGACAGTTGGGATCCTAGAGAAGGTTTCACCTTCTTAAAAAAGACAGTTTGGTCCCCGAGAAGGTTTCATATTCTTAAAAAAAAATTGTATCTCGAGAAGATTTCATTCTTAGAAAAAAAATCGGAAATGATTTCAACAGAAATTCCTTTGCCCTTAAAGTGTGGTCCGACAAATTCCGTTTCTTAAAAATAATAAAATAAGCAACGGGAAAAACAGATATTCTCACTTTCTCTGTACATGCTTAACTTCGACTGTTTATGTTTGTACTTCAAAAAAAATTCGACTATTAGGTTATCAGCATCAGCTGCTAAAGGAATTGAAATTTAATTTTGTCTCCTCAACGTAAAAGAGTGAACTGTTTAATTAATTAATCACACTCAGTATTTTCCCAAAACACTCATAAATCTGAAGAACATATTTCACAAAATTGTAAGATGATGGACAAATTTTGGTTAACGATTTACGATGTTTTCAATTACCTTAAAAGATTTGCAAAATTTCGTAGCATTCGGTTTTTGCAATTTCTAAGGTAAATTGTAAAATATTGTTATAAAATGTTGATTTTTTCCAAAAAATTTGGATGCAAGGGTAAAAACTCAACATGGATTCATAAATCACATGCAAGAGCATGTTATTTTATAAAATTTTATGACGTCATAATTTTTTGGGAAGGCCGTAAACGAATAGATTTTAATTAACCATTTATCATGCTTCCAATAACCTTAGAACGTTTTGCAAAATTTCAGAGCATTCAGTTTTGCATTTTTAAAGTTAAATTATGTATAAAACATAATTTTGAATTTTTCGCTAAAAATCTAGGTAAAAACTCAACACAGATTTTTAAATTGTAAAAATACGTAAATACGTCATCACTTTTTTGAGGGGGGTATAACCGAAAAAATTTTGATTAACAATTTATTATGTTTATGATAACCTTAAAACGCTTCCAAGATTTCAGAGCATTCGGTTTTGCAGTTTCAAATGTTAAATTGCAAATGTAATAAAATTTTGAATTTTTGTTCCAAAAATCTGGATGTCTAGGGTAAAACTGAACACGGATGCACAAACCACATGCGAAGGAGTATCTTATTTTATAAAATTGAAATAATATTTACTAATGTAAATTTTGGAAATGACGTCATGCTATTGTTGGTGGGGATGTTTATCCAAATTTTGGCTAGCGTTTTACCATCTACACGATATATTTGTAATATACATATAAATCTTTCACAATAATCGGTCTAGTAGTTTTGGAGATTATCTACCTAATAAAAACCGGACAGACGGTAGACAGAGAGACAGACACTCTAAGGTTCATGAAACGTCGAAAAAACATAAAAGTAGCCAGTCGTTTAAATTAGTTTTCGGTCAGAGAATAAAAAACACTAAACTCAAAACTGTAAAAGTGAAAAATCTCAAGTGAATGGCATCAACTCGTTCGGTATTTGTGGTGCCTTCGAGGCGAGGAACTATTCAACACTTTTTGCTTTAAGCGTTACATTTTTACGGCGTAAAATTAGGGTTTCGTGTGAATTTATAAAATCGATATTTCTCGGAAAAAAAAACCTCGGTAAATTTCTTGGAAAAATTGCGCCACTCGGTTCTTAGAATTCGCCGGCTGGAATATAGGTCGCGAAGGGGGACGGGAGGGGGTGTAATGCATCGAAACCAGTCTTCATAATGTCACTGAACCGGAAGCGTCTCTTCAGTTGGTAATTAGTAGGTAAAGTTCGGTCATTTTAAAAAAAATTGTTTTGGTTTTTGGTGGATAAAAGTTTAAGTTCATCGTAAACGGTTTTTGAAAATACATAGTTCCTTTGGTTTTTGGTGTTCGTGGATTTGGTGGGAGAACCGAGTAACAGGATTTTGTTAGTGGTAAGTTTCCACTGTCTGTGTTTTATGACGATTTTTAAATTACTTCATATGGCTTTAAAAATGAATATTGTGTATATTTCACCTATAAGTGGACGTATTCCACAACCGACGACTTTGCTGTACTAAGTTTGATAATTTCTAGAATTGTACTAATCAGGTTACGTAGTGCTGATAAGCAGAAACCCACTAATTAAATGAAACTACAACGTGATCTTCTAATTGTAGCTGAATTAGTGTGTACACGTTTTAAGCAATATTTCTACTAATGTAAACAGCCCGTCAAAGAGAACATTGTTTTACGAGCTTCGACATTGTCAAAAAAGGCGAGTAGCTCTTTAATGTTGCTAAAAAATAAGTGGGTGCTAAACTTTCTAATTGAATTTTGTTCGCGTGGTGATGGCGCCTCTACGCTAAATCTCTTCTTTTAGAAACAATAAAATATTTCACGAAGACAGAAACAACAATTTATGCGTGCTAAATCTATTTTATTATGAGTGCTAAAAATAGAGATAAGTGCTGTTCTCTTGTTTCACAATGTGTTTATTTATAAAACATAACTGTGCATGACCGTGTCGTCGGAATAATATGTATTTAGATGCACTCGCAAAAAGAAGTTTATTGTTTCAGGAAATTGGCAAAATACACAATAAAATACAGTTTGGCAAATAAAAATTTATTTCAAGTCGTTTATTAGTCGAATAAATTGCTTTTGACACTTGGAATTTGAGGTTCCTCGTCTTAGATATTGTCACAAATTATACTTATCACGTGCTGTAATCTATTTGTAAACACTTTTTTTTGTATATTTAATATTGAGAGTCAGTGGTGGAATATTTAAACAAATGTGAATAGCGCTTGGTATAAAAGAATTTTAAATGAAGCCTAAAAATAACTATCAAGTAATTGTCCAACACAATACTGTATTATCCATAAACAAATCTACATTCACGTATGTCCAATTCAGTCCATTTGTTATTATTAGTTATTCATTAATTTGGTTCTTTTGCTTCATCAATATATACTTATTTTGACTATGAGTATATAACAGCAATATGTTTATTTACACCATTAGAAATACGGTGCACATTTCATTGACACAGGTTGTGGTTAGAAAAAAAAGGCCCACCTAGATTTTTGGCATGGTATTTATTTTTTCCCTCTTATTAATAGAAAAGGTTAAATGTTGAAATTTCATCTTCTCGGTATGACGCAGTCTTGATCTAACTACTGGAAATTGATCCTGAGTTCTTTACTAAAACTGTCCCCATATATTTTGGGCAATCACGTAATGATCCAAAAAGATAGCAGTTCCCGGACAAATCTTCTCGTAATAGTTGAAGAAACAGAGATCTGAATTAGCGATATAAGAGCAATCAAAAGAATTTTAATTTACTGATGTTGAACATTTGGAGAAGAAATGGCTTAAGTGCGTTCAAAGAGAGGGCAGTTCTACTGAAAAATAAAAATTGTTTGAAGCATTTAAGAATTACCATTCGAAGTTTGATTTCCTTAAGAGAAGTTTTATTGGTAGATATTTTTCGAACCTCTCGGCTATATTTTTTCGTTTTTCCGGTTTCCATGACGCCAAACTGTAAAGGTACACCGACACGGACATTTTGAGTTATTATTTGTCCTAAGTGTAACACTATCTGTAACATTATCTTCACAACGCCGGCTAGGTACTTAACGGTAAATAAATGGACGCTACAAGCTGAACAGCTCTTTAAATTTACTCTTACAGAAAAATAGCATAAGGTAAGTGTCGAGTACCGAGTATTAATGACCTTTTTTAAGTAGAATCGCTTAATTGCTAAGTAGAAATAAACATTAAAACGTTGAAATCCCACTTTACGCAAGAAGTACGACCACAGATGTTGAAAAGATAAGGTCAATTAAGTCACCGTTAATTACTTTATTGGGTTGTGACAGTTGTTTATGAATATCGTTAACGCAAACCTTACAAGATCTTAATCGTATCTCATTCTTTTCGCATGCCTTCTTTCAATCTCTCAATCGAGCGAGGAAGTCAAAAGAGTCGTGATAAATCCCCTGCTGAAAGGACGGAATAAAACAATCGCAACGGAAGAACAATATTTATTATTTGACATACACAAGTCGGGAGAGCATCGCACGATTTCCTTTAATCTAAATATTTAATCGGGTTATTTTTGAAGCTTTTATCGAACGAGGGATCTCATCATCTACGTAACTGTTGTTGCGAAGCAAAATTCGTAACTTTTTCTCTTTTAAAGTGTTATATTTTGTGTTTGTGTATACTTTTTCGGTCTTGATGGAGTAGGGGTAAGTTGGAATGAGTCACGCAGTGGAAGAACAATATTTATTGTTTCATATATACAAGAAAGTCTTAAGAGAACATTGCACGATTTCCTAAACTCTAGATATTTAATCAGTCTATTTTTAAGGCTTTTATCATACATAGCATCTACATCTACATAACTACAGTTACTTCGACGCAAAATCCAAGCGATACAATTATAAATTACATAACTACGTATGAGGGCCGCCTTTGTCAACCTGTACTCTGCAGCTATTTACACAACAACGATATAAATAATTTGTACATAATAAATACAATGAGATCGGCTTCGAGGCTACTCGGGGGTGGATTACGAGGACAGAGGCATGTCCTCCTCGTCGCAGGCCACCGTCGAGTGGTTGTACAGGCCCTGGGCCATCAGCTGCAGCGCCAGCGGATTTTTCTGACCCGAGGATTTTTTGATCTTCGCGCGCTTGTTCTGGAACCAGATCTTGATTTGGGCCTCGTTGAGGCCCAGTTCGGCGCTGAGCTGTTGCCTTCTGCGCTCGGTCAGGTAGCGATTTTCGTTGAACTCGTGCTTGAGGCGCGCCAATTGGGCGCTGGAGAAGGCCGTCCTCGGCCTCTTGTCCTCGCTGCTGGGCTTGGTCGGCTTCTTCATGCGACGGGAGCGGGGGCCTGCAACCACAAAAACTGTTCTAGAAATTTTGGGATCGAGGGAACGATAAATCTGCCGGCTGGAATGCCCGGGAGACGTGCGTTAGCCGTTACGGTCCTGTGCTCCGGTTTTGATCAATAGCCGTTCGTACCTCCCTAAAGAGGGTATTCATGACAGTGGAGCTAAGGTCGACATTTGTCTCTAATTAGAGCAATTGTGGCGCAGTTAGCGAACTGCAGAGAGGACATTAGGGAGGTATTAACTTCGGCTGAAATATGGGGACAGAAGGGACAACTTATTATGGGGCCATTTAAGATGAGCGAGAGACATTGTTGATGGCTTGTTAGTGGTGTATGTTCGCTATTAAATTCTAGACCAGCCACTGGGGGCCCTAAAAATACACCGTTTAAAAAGCACTTAACGAGGCCGTTGACAGAGGCACATAAATTCACAAAAACGCGTTTTCCAACGATTTATTTTTAATTTTAAGCGAGGAGATGATGTACTGATTTCGAGTAAATATAGAAATTGGGAGAAATTGAAAGCTCTAACGGCACACATACATCTTCTTATTAAATTATAACTATCTAGAACTGGAATTATGGACCCATAATTTAAACTGTGGATATACTCAAAGGAAATATTTTACTTCAAGCTTGATACAACGTTTGCATTTACACCAAACTAATATTTACTTAAATAATTTCTTTGTATGAAGGACTTATATCAAGTCACTGCTCACTGTATTAAATTTAACTCTCAACATTTTACGTATGTGTGATGAAGCTACGGAAAAATTTCGAAAGTTTTATAGAGGACAAATTTTTGTTCGCTTTCTGAGATGACGTTACCATCCTTCTGGAAGGGACAAATAAATATGTATTAGTTAATAAATCAACGCTGAAGTCCTACAACAATGTCAAAGAGAATGGATATGTCGTTTCTGAGATAATTGTATCGAAAATTAATTGTATCTCAGAGTTTAATTTTCATTAAATAATTATTTAATAATTTTTGGAAAGATGTTATCATTTAGAGAGAAGACTTTTAAATAAATTTTAGTAAATGTTTGATCTTTGGATCACTCTTTCACTCTTCCATGAAATGTCTTACCTAATTTGAAATATTTGTTAGGATTCACATATAGGTACATATATCGATAGATGAAATTTATTTTATTTTGTGTCACAAATTTTTTAGTAGGGATAAACTGAGAAATCCACAATAATGTTAAATTACATCTCAAATCTCAAATTAATAGGATCTGGACATTATGTTTCTACTTAATAAATTCAGCAAACGATAGGGAGACATCAAATACTTCCCCTATTTATATTTGCAAAGTAAAAATCATAGAAAAAAAGTCCAAAATCTTATAAATCATAGCGCCAAAATGAATACCATCAAAAATAAATAAAATTCATTAGTAGTCTTTTTCGATATTGTAGGCTGAAGATGAGTGCAGCAGGCCTCGAAACGTCGGCATTGTCATTGGCTTAATTTTACTAATAAGTGTAGGTATTGTTTTCAACCTTGCGAACTTTGGCCTCTAAGTTAATGATTTTTATAATTTTTAATTCTTATTTGAAATGATGTGATATTGTTACTAAATCTATGGGTTAAGTTAAAACAAAAAAATCTGAATATTTTATGGTATTATCTATATCATAAAATATTACATGGGTTGAAAACGATCCACTGGACCATAAAATAATTAATATAGGTATACCTAAATATGCTAATTTGTCACAATTTTATTTATTATTATGTACATTATTCCTTGTGGAAATTTTTGAACATGTGTTTTACCTACTACCTACTATGCATATTTTACAAGATTTTGCTATTTGGCTTCCCCAGTGACCAACAACTGGATGATGATAAAATTTTGCGAATAGCAATATAATAAACAAAGTACATAAAGTGGAGGTATGAAAAAAAAGTGATAATCGAAAACTTTAATAAAAACAAGAAGATTAAATGTTCGAAAAAATATATTACAGTAGTATATCTACAGCATATGTAAATTCGTCTAAACAAAACGCAATTTCTGTGCTCTAAAACAACTCATTCAATTTATTTATACAAGATATTCTGATAAAAAAACGAAATACAAGATGTACGATAAAGCCACCTTTTTTCAAAAATAGGTTGTCTCATTTAAGGCATCGTGTACTCAAAAGCCAAAAATACGCTTTATTCGCTTAAGAATAAAGAAACTAATGCTGAAGTTAAAAAATAGAAGTTGAAACAAGGTAACTACCTGCATATCCAGAGCAACTGAGACATTTTTTTTGTAACTTTTTTCAAAATTTTGTACTTTTTTGTCTTTTTTAATTATTTTTTCTTTAAGAAGTGCCAGAAGGAAATACCAACAAATTATGAAATAATTTTTTTTGAAGAGTCGACAATAAAAAAACTACAGCGGTTAGTTACCAATTAAGATAAAAATTAAATTTTTTATTCCACACCTGACACCGTCATTTAACGATGCAAGTAAATTATAATGCTGATTTTAAATATGTTCGTTCTTTAGATTAATTTGTTTGGAGGTTACTTTTACCATTAGTACTTCCGGAGTTGCTAGTTTCAACTGACTAATATTGAATGTCTTATTTTTATGTACAGAAATAAAATAACCCACAGTTTTTGAAATGCCAAAGTCGTCGAATTGATAATTATGCAACCAAACATACAGCAGCATTTATCTTCGATCTGATGTATCGACACGTCGTCACCGCATCACCAAAGGTAAAAGCGATATTTTTCACCCTAACGTCCGAGATCCATCATCGAGATTTCTATTGTTTTCGAGTTGACGTTTTTCAAGCAATTAGCCTCGGCTACCGTATTCTTATGAGATCTGATAAGGCGCCGCCTGTTTCAGTTTTTCTCTGTCATGGTCTTGTGTTTCTTTATTTCTGGTCGGAATTAATTCCGAGATAAAGACCGGATTTGATGTATGACGTCATTACAAAAACCACGAAATAATCGCCGAAATTTATTCGGAATATCTCAGGTATAAGGTCGCTATCTCAAATATTTGCCCCGGCTCCGTGCAAGATGTAGATTAAGAAAACCTCAATTAATTTTTGGTGGGCAGAATCAACTGGAAGAAATTCCTGCCCGGAAATTTATGAGTCTGAAATTGCCAGTTTACCTGAACTGGGCCGGTCCGAGTACCTAGTGCAGTACACCCAAGCGGGCCATAGCGTAGGCACCGACCCCTCGTCTTTTTTCACCTCCTCGGGGTTGGGCAGCAGCGATTTCGCCGGGGTGGCGACCCTTGGCGCGGGTTCGGGGCTCCGCCGACTCCCGATCTGGGACACGGCCTGGCACAGGCTGCCCAGCGGGGCCGTCGAAAAGGGTTTGGTCTCTTCCTTGACCTCGTAGGGCCGGAAGCCGATCTTGGGACTCGCGCGCGTCTTCTGCACGGCGTTCTTCCCGAACTCGGGCTTGAGGATGTTCCTGATGGAGTACTTGAGCGTCTGGATGGCGGGTTCCGGCTCGGGCGGCGGCGACGGCGATGATCGCGGGCTCAGCGCGAACGACGTGATGCGGAAGAAGTCCTTAGGCGAGTCCTGCGAGATGGTGGTGCAGGTGTACGGAGAGGTCCTGGAGGACTCGGGGGAGTTGGGCGCGGCGGCGGGCGCCGCCGTGCTTGGGCTGGATCTGTCCTCGAAGGCCATTCTGGGTTAGCAGCGGTAGCGGGGGGTGCGAAGGCAGCTGCAAATCAGCGGTTTGGGTGGATTTCGGTTGATGGTAGATTTAATTATAAAGATATGGAAGCCTTAGGGACATGTTCCTGTTTTAAGGGTGATGGAAAAATTTTTGATTTGAGTTATTATTCACCAATTTCATATTAAAAAAATATATAAAAAAATAATTAGGAGATTAGTAAAAGTTGTTTTTTTTTATTTTAAAATGGAATAAATTAATTTTTCTAAATTTCTTCTACTACGTACCTACGTATTTAAGATTTTATCTATTTTTTGCAAAGTACCCATGATAGAAAGCAAAACTGACCCTTAGGCAAATGGGTCTTTCGCCGAAAATTAAAAAAGCGTTCTAAATCGAAAACTAAAATCTGCAATGTTTATCGAAACAATTTTTCCAAAAATAAAAGGATTATGGACTTTTAGACATAGAACGATTTTCAAAATGTGCTAAAAACATTTGCGGTTCAACAAAATTGTTGATTTTTAATTTTCTCATTATTCCAAGATTTTGAAAAATTAAAAAGGGTGCGTTTTTGGAAAACAGAGAAACCAGCGCTGTTAGGGTGAATTTTGTTTGATGGTAGATTTAATTAGGTACAGAGATATGGACTTAGGGGCACCAGAAACTCATGCCTGTTTTTATTATGATAAACAGTTTAAAAAATATATTCTAGGAGCCCCTAAAGAAATGTTGAGTTACTTTTGTAACAAAAAATAGCAAATTCATATTAAGAAAAAACATAAATTAGGAGTTTTGGAAGACTTTTTTATTTGAACCTGAAGAAATTATTAAAAAAAATACTTGCTAATAAAAAAATGCTTGAAAGATTCCTCGTAATTCCTAATTACGGTTTATTTACTTTTATAGTTAAATAGCAAGCAAAATTGATCTTTACGGAGAGGCGCCGTTGAGCGAGAGTAAAAAAAGCTTTTAAAATCCGAAACCTACAATTTAAACCGTTTATAGAAGCAATTTTCCTAAAACTAAAAAGTCTAAAAACTTTAGGCATACGCCGGTTTTCAAAAAGTGCAAAAAAATAATTTGCCATGGAAGAAAATTGTTGATTTTTTGGTTTCGTCGATGATTCTCGAATTTGGAAAAATAAAAAAGTGTTTTTTTTTATGAAACCGCCCCCGGTCGCCCCCGCGGTCCGGTTCGCCGCCCCCGGCGGCCGCCACCCTGCCTAAATGCCTAGCCGTGCGCCTTTACCTTTCCATGCACACGCCAGCACTCCAGTTGCACTCTGCACACACTCACTTTGCACTCGGAGTGTTTACCTCGAAAAGTACGCTGTCAAACTGAGTAAGTTTTCAAAATAGTCATCTTTATTACTGAAGTCTCCGCTGGCCACGCCCACCGGTCAATGCGCCTGTCTCTGTCTGCCGCGGCGGCGCCCCTCTCTCTCCAACCCGAACTTGATGAGAGCCGGCGGGCCGTGCACGGCCCGCGACCCATCTCCGCTGACGGATTTTCGCGATTTTCCCCTGTGCCGTTTTTCCGCTTTTCCGCATATTGATTTTCGCTCCCTCTCTGTCTCGGCGGTTTACGTCCGGTCGACATCTCACTCAGCGATATCTGCCAATGGCAAGGTGGGCGTGGCCGGATAAATTCAAATCTGGTTGGTTTAGTGGCGTGGAGGGGAGGCGAGCGTCCAGATTGAGACGTAAGTATGTTTGTTTTTGTTGATCCGAGGCGGAGTCTGCACTGTAAACGTGGTAATTCAATATCATACGCAAGTGGTATGAATTAATAAGTGGTTTAGATAATGATTTTATCAATCTGGCGTCGTTAATTGACGGATTTCTGGACGCGATGATGGAAAGCGATCGGTAATTAGCGGGCCGGTTGCGAGACGACCTGATATAATTGAGCTTTTTTAATTAGGGAAGAGGAGGAGGGATGGGGCGATGGGTTGAGGATGGTCGGGTTTGGGGAATGCTGCGGATTTTAATATTTTAGTGGAGGGCGGGGGCGGGCTTGGTTTCGTATTGATTAATTAATTAAATTTAGTCATTATTGCTCGTTTTGAAGGTAGGTATGTGGTGTGACACTAATTCGATTAATTTATATATTAATTAACAGTAGACGCGCAGAATCGTTAATGAAAATATTTATTTAAATTAATAAAAGAAAAATAAAATCTAATGTTTTTACTTTTGAATAAAAAAATATCTGCCCAATGGGTGCCCAAAGATCTGAAAACTGATGAAAAGCGTGTGAAGAATATTTTTCCAATATTGTGCATCTTTTTTAAAAGTACCCATGGGGATTCCCATGTTAAATTTTAGACCTCATGTTAACCTTTGTTAGGGTGAAAACCATTTTTGTAGTAAACTGTTAATTTGTGTTTTAAAAAGTAAAAATTATTATTAGGTATACCTAAGTGTAAATAGGTACATCGTACAAGGTTGTAATTTATTATTTAGACTGGTCATTTTTGACAGAATAATTTTTATTTACTCATTAAACACCTCTATTTTCAGTTTTTAGAAAAGAAATAGGTAGGTATTCAAATACTGAGAACTGAACAAAATAAAAGATAATTTCACTAAAATTGCGCCTTTGATGTCCATTATCGAGATGAAATTTTTCATTTGTGATTTTGTCATTATAGAAAAAAAATTCTTCTCTTTATTCCAATAATAAGTTAACTTGAGCTATAAAATTTAAGATGGAAATTTCTATGACCACTTTTAAAAACGATGCACAGTACTTACCTATATTTTAGATCGTATTGTATAGTTATGAAGGAAACAAGAATCCATTATTAAAGTTTGGAAACAAATGAACTATTAACAGAATTAAAATCCAGTGGTTCCCTCCGTACCTATTTACAGTGAATTTCATGTCCAAAAATCGGTAGGAAAAGTTTCCGCATCAGTTTTTCCGACAAGAAAGGAATAATTATGTTGGACGACTCAGAGTAGAGTAAAATTATGGGAAAAAAGTATCTATTATTAACTAGACTTCCAGAAAAAAGTGTGCAGAAACTCCATGGAATAATTTTCATTTACAAGTCTTTGATTACGTTACAGCAAATTAATGAAGTTGGTTTTGAATTGGTTAGCCCTTCTATTATTGGCTAAATATAGCTGATCATATTATTCTATATTTACAAAACTAAAAATCTGAATCGGGAGAAGCTCTCGTCAACTAAAGCCGTTACAATAAATGCTCTGAAGGAGAGAAAAATGTAGTAATATTATTAGTGATAATTTTTGTTAATATAAAGGCCTGAAGATGGCTAGTCACTAGCCTAAATCGGTCGTAAAATAAGTAATAAAATATCCTGAATAGAGTTTCATATAAGTAATAAAAAGAACATTCAAATACACTTATTTAATACAAAAATTCTCATTTGACGACTTTCAATAAGCAGTGTTACATATGACACCCACACAAAATAATGGTTCTGAATTATCACTACAATCGATTATCTTTGGTTATTGTTTAAGTGAGACATAGAAAATGAAATTTTGTCAATAACGTACCTACCTAGTAATCCACGGTGAATTAATTTCAAGAAATTTGTTTGCTTTAATGTTTTCTAAACTTCCCATTCATTGCAAGTATTCAAACAATGGCATATGAGTGTGAAATTAAAGCATTATCAAGTCATGTATAAAACCAATAGGTAGCCATTTCTTTTCTCCGAAGATTTTTATTGTTCTTTAAAACCAATTTGATAATTTTTGCGAGATCTCGATAGTTAGCATTCATCAGATTTACTTTTTCTAGCCTAAATACCTAGTCATCATTCTTTCGGTTTAAAAGTCACAAATGCTTTTTGACTTTAGGCAAAAGCGCTTCGCGATCTTTGAAAACTAAATAATTATATTGTGAAGTGTTTTTTTACACTAAGTACAACATTTAAAGATTCCCGGAACGCTGAATGCTGAATGTACCCCACGCCACCCGTGTCTAACGGCCCCACCTACCTGTCAAAACACTCGAAAATATTTAACTTGCAACAAAAACACACGTCGTTAATTTATTCCGGCGTTTAGTCACACCATCCAATTCCCAGCACTTACCTGTGCATTCGCAAGCGTGGAAAATCGGACAATAACAAACAAAAAGCGCCAAAGCAAACAGGTCCCTGAAAATAACCGGGTCGTATTGAGCGCGTCGAAGGACTCTAGGAAATCCTTGACACACTGTGTCTAAACGGCTTATTTAGCGAAGCAATCCGCCGGATATAGGCATACTTCGACGTCGAAATACGGAGCTCGTCTAGGTACCTCGACTCAATGAAAGGGATTTTTTTCCGTGTCAACGCCGGACGAGATTTACAATCTATGGCGAATTTTATGTGTGCCTTGAGGTTTACAAAGGCATTCTTTGCATGGGTGACAAAAGGCCGAGCAATAAAACTGTTGTCGAAGGTACGGACCAAAACAATTCTCCGTTTGGAGGTAAAACAATTAAACGAGGGCTATAAAGCATCCATGACAGCGCACGTAGGGCTGCGATTCCCATCGGAGTGGAGAGAAAAAACGGCCGGAAATCTTCATCGGTCGGAGAAGGGGTGTCTGAGTGAGATTTTTTTTTTTTGAAATTGGCGAGTCCGCCCCTGTGCGAGCTTTCGTTGTTTCGCGAAGATAATTGCCGAGAACTGGTCGGCAGAGGCGAGAAGACGATTTTGTTAACGTCGCCGATAATGGCCACAGAACGGGATTTCGTCAATAAATTCCTGAAAGTGTGAAGATTATTTACGGTGGGAATTCTATAAACATAAAATTCAAATGAGTACGAAAGGAAGAAAAATATTTAAATGTTCTACCAGTTTTGGAGTTGGCGTGATAGAGGTCACTGAATTTGTTAAGCTTAGTGACATTCATAACTGTTCAGTTTTGGCGAATTTCCATACGAAGCACCGAAAAGTTAAAAAAAGCTGAAATATCAAGATTGTATTTTATAAATATTACCTCATTTCTGTTGTTGGTCTTTGTGAAGGCGACGTTTTGCGCATGGAAGTAACTCCGCTTTTAAAATTTTGACATTTCAATTTCAAATTTTTACCTTGAAAGGAATTTTCGATATAAATTCCAATCGTGTAGTTCGAATAACAGAATACGTGACACAACGTCGGACAATAATTATTGTATTTAAATATCACGCTGTTAGATAAATATTTTAAATTTATGATAAGTTAAATTGTGAGTGATTCAGCATGAACGGATGACCTAGCATTCTCTTTGACAAGACGGATAGGATAAACATTCTTTTCCTGTCAGAGCTTTCGGAGCGATCGAATTGAAACCAACAAGTAATATCTTGTTTAAATTCGCTCCGGAACCCATTAAATCCATCTGGGATATTTCTGTTAAAGCATTTTTATTTATTTTTACTCAAAACACCAGTTGTTAACACCTTCATCTTCAACTTTTTCGCTTAAACTAGACCAGATGTCACAAACCTCGTTCACTTGTCCTCGAACTCTGAAACAAAATTTCAGAAACTTTCACCCTGGCGCCGACCTCCCCCGTTTAAAACCATCGCCGCAAATTGAATCCCAGCGAAAGATCAAATATCGTGTTGCGGTCGAATTTATGTGTCGATTGTGTCACCCATAACCGATTCCGGCAACAGCCAAACACCACTTTTTCGAAATCGGCATCACATTTAAAGGAAAAAGTCGCGATTGTGGCTTGTCGTAAATCTGGTCGACTCAGGTGGGCCCTCGGACGCGCTATCTCCTACAATGTCGCATTGTCATTTGGACCCTCGGTGACAGAAGGATTCATTCAGAGTTGTCAGTCGAGCGTGCTGTTGACCTTTACCACAAATACGAAACGACGTCGCCAAGTGACCATTCCGTGGGGCCAAGATAAAGGCGGATTAATGAAGCGAGGACGTGGCTAAACATGAAACCATTGCTTCTTGGATGAGTTAAGGTTGAATGGAGTGAGGCCTCTATTCAGTCCGGGGCTATTCATAGTGATATCTCTATAGCGGAGTGGCGGGAGCTGATAATTAATTAGTGTGGCGGCGGTGATGCGCAATCGATGAAGTATAGATCGTGTTTGGTCCAAAAATTATGGCACTAAATAACTTCGAGCGAGATCTGGATCCGGGGTCTCGTTAAAGTGGGCTTGAATTATTTTCTCAGGTTTGTGGCAGAAAATAAGTACAAAATTAGAAGGTTTTTGGAAATAATTTAAAATGGAAAGATTTCGCATAGGTACAGCGTGGAAAAAGGTAATTAAACCTATGTCAGACCTTTATTTTCTAAGGTAATTAAGTAATTATAAAAGTACCAATGGTCTACAGAAAATTACTGAAAATG